GGTGGGGTGGTGAGGGTAGCCGCCGAAGGGGGGTCGTGGTGTGGGGTATCCGCCGGCAGGGCCCTCGGGGGTAGGGATTGTGGGGAAGGCGGGGGAGAGGAAAGGCCACCGGTCAAGCTCGCAGCCATGGCCGTAGCTGGCTCGGTGGTAGAGCTCGTAACCTGCGTCGTCGACGAAGTGTTTTGTGGGGTCCAGCTCGGTCATCGGCCAGTCCGTCAGGATGCAGTTGTCTGCCGGGCTACCGATGGTTGGTGACCCATACCTGTAAAGAAAGTCGCCATGAGAACAGAGCTTGGAGAATTAGATAATGATCAAAGTGATACAACACCTATTCGCAACGGGCCAGTCGCGCTGGTTACAGAATAATAATAAAATCCGTCCAAACAGCAATTTTCTACGTTCAATTTTACTAGAGATATCGCGCTTTGAAAAGTCGAGTTTTTGACGTCATCCACAGCGGTAGTGACAACCTTGGTAGTGAAACCAAAGGTGTCACCACCGCGGTGGTTGATGTCAAAAACCCGACTTTTCAAAGGGCCATTTCTCTGATAAGATTAAATGTAAAAAGTTGCTTTTTGAACGGATCTTATTATGTTCAGTTCATCTAAAAGAATTAAGCATCAAAGACGATTCTGTGACCAGCGTAACGGACCCATTTTTGATCAAGAGTTTAAGGTACGACATTCTGTTGCTGTTTTGGCGTAAGGGCATATCTCGATTTTTGTATGAGCCCCAGAAAGCATTTATTCATATGTAAAGCAGGGCTCACGTCATAAATGAGGTACTCCCTTACTTCATAGGATCGGCGATTTAAGGCGCAAGTCGGCGACCGACTTCAGCAGGAAGCTTTGACAAAGATTTTTACGCGACCTAAGGCCACCGACTTGCACGGTTGACCTGTGTGCCTTTCAGTGCCATACTGCTGAACCTAGTACATTTCTGACCTATACAGGCTGATTTTTTAAAGTGATAGAGAAAGCTATAGACGAAGATGGCAAAAAAAATGGAGTGATTCTATCGGTTGAGACTGCTGTCTATAGACCGAGGTAGAAACGGTGGACTAATTATGGAGTCTCACGTGCGTAGGTTGCCTTTAGTTGGTCTATTACTTACCTCATTTTACCACTGCAACTACCCGCTAGCTTTGTCCATCAATTTTAATAATTAGACCTCAACACTGAACATAGTATAATTGTTCCGTTCCTATCTACCATTTTCATAATCCATATTCCATTTTCTAGTAATCGTAGCTGAATGACTGATTCGATTGGGTAGTAGGTTTTAAATTGCGATGTCGTCACCTTCCAGGCAAAGTATCACAAGCGCCATGCGACGTTTAAAAATTTCCGCCGCCATTATATTTGTTCACAAAGAAATTGTCCAACGAAGCTGTCCGAAAATTTCACCGAATTTTCTTTGTGCTGCCGATAAAATTTAGTGAAATTTCACTAAATTGTCCAACGAAGCTGTCCGAAAATTTCACCGAAATCAACAGATTCAACCAACAATTTCTCAGTAAAAAAATAAAATGGCGGCGGAAATTTTTAAACGTCGCATGGCGCTTGTGATACTTTGCCTGGAAGGTGACGATGTCTTTTCATTCGTAACATTGGGAGAGGTCACATTAATGTTTGGATCAATTCTATACGAGCAACTATTCTCTATAGATATCCATTCACTTGTTAAAAGCGATCAACCTAACCAAAATTACATGTATAGTTTAAATGATTAGTACCTGTAACTTAGAGCTCGACAGGTGAAGTGCTTTATGTGAAGGCACACAAGCTGGCATTCGCTCAGAGTTTGAGTACTGATCGTGAACTTGACCACAACTCCTTCAAGTCGGAGCCCACTTCGGAGGCGCTCGAAACAATCTGTTGACAAAACAAAAAGAGTGTTAATTTTTACAATATTGAAGCAATATAATGGACCACTAGACAAGGTACGAATTTCAGCATTCTGATACATGTTTCTTAGCCAAAATTTCACGTAAAACACGATGCGCACAACAAAAATTACCGTAATTAACTCCTTACAAAGATTCAATGATTCCTGAAGCGTGAATTCAAACCACCCGCTCATTAAAACTCAATGCTCTACGTAATTCACATCGCGCGGTAAACATTATCATGACAGTCTCTGCAATATAAAAATCTGGCAACCTCAATCTAGACGCTTTGGCTCAGCTGTAGCAAATTGCTTATAGTTTGAACAACACTTGGTGAGAAATGAACATTGCGCGATTGAGAAGCTTGCTGAAACCGTTGTAGTCCGCGATTTGACTCACGTACAGCTTTGAGTTTCTTGTGAGCGGGCAGTTCAAATTCCTCGTAACCAATGTGAAATAAAAGCGTTAATATCTTCGTTAGGAGTTAATCTCAGTAATTTTCGTTGTGCAAGTCGTGTTTTACGTAAAATTTTGGTTAAGAAACATGTATCAGATTGCTTAAATTCGTACCTTGTCTAGTGGTCCATTGGGAAAATTAATGCACAAGGAAGAAGAAGAAAAAAAAATACGAGTGTGCTTCATTTCTTTGTCAACCAGAATCAGTAGGATTAGAATCGTCGATAGGACTCAAACTATATTTTTTTCGGCATGAACGTTTACTGGACAACGATTGTAAAACACATCATATGTTCTTGATCATGGCCTTGCCTTTGATTTGAGGTCACCTCTTCTGCTAAACAGCGTTTTGGAATTTTCAATAAAAAGCGCAAAGTTTAGCGACCTATTTGATGCATATACAATCTTAGGAACGGCCAAGTACGAGTAGATATTGTTCAACAGTTTGGTACGAATCAAATCGAAAGACATCTTTACCAGTGATTGTTAGGAGATCACGACCAATTTCTCTTGTCAAGGGAAACCTAAAGCGGTTTTTAAATTAAATTTTAAGCATTGGTGATGAATATTTATGTACGGAAATTGGAGGTAAATAAAGGTAATAGCTCCAAATTTTGTAAGGGGCTTACTTACCACTGTCAAATGTTTTAGTAGGTTGACATCCAGGCCGTCCCAACTCATTTCTAACGTAGACATCGTAGTCTCTGTCTGGAACTAAATCGCTGTACAAGTCAATTTGTCTAATCGTCCTCTCACCCAGTTGGCAGTTATCTGTGGCTGCATTGGCACTATACCTGTAGGAGGAATATCCGCGTATTTTGTTTTAAAGGCTCTCAAACCGGCGAACTTTGACAGAGTGACGTATAAGGGTTGGATCATGCAAGATTTTTCAAGTTTAAATGGAATACGCATTTCATAGATTAATAACCAAAAAGTGGATTTTTAATAGCAAAACAGGTCATAAGCGATCTCGACTAAAACATATTCAAAAATTAAAGTTAATAGAGAATCAATGTGAGTCTAAAGCTGGCAAACTAACTTTAATCACAGTAACAAGCTTAATTTTATTTGATTCAAAGCCAAAATCAATGGCGCTGATGATTTCATCGATCTTCATCATCATCATAATAATCAAAATGTACGCTTCTTGAATAAACACCCTCAGGAGAAAACACATTACTTTCAAAATCGGCGCACTTTTACGTGATGTGCGGCTTAAGAGAAATAGTTTACTTTTCTAACGCTGCGTTTAAGTCTCCAAGCATGTTCGATTGTTTTGAAGTCAATGGAAACGCTTTTACAAAACCTCGAGATTCTGAAAGTGGTTCCGTTGGTTTCTTTGTGATATTTTTCCTCTAGAAGTGCCCCTTAAAGTTTAAAATGTGACGAAATAAACATCAAAATATACAGTTTTAGTTGAACATTTCATGTCTGACCTCTCTAATTGACTTAATCCACTGTGCAACGATTCAATCTCTTCCTGAAAGCAATCTCTAACATTTCGTTATGCACTGAAAAAAAAATCTCGGTGTATTTACTAAGAAAAGGGTGAAATTACCAAGAATTCAGGGTTCTATTTGATCCCAGTTTTTTCTTGGTAAAATTACCATTTACGGAATTGGTAATTTTACCGAGAAATCTCGATAAAATTATTGAACTTTCTCGATAATTTTACTGGACCTTGGTAAAAACGCCAATATTTTTATCAACTGTGGTAAAATCACCGAGATACAATGGCAAAGTTACCGGGAATTGATTACCAATAAAAGTGGTATTCTTACCTGAAAAGAACAGTAAAAATACCGGTTTTTAGGTGAGCTTACCGCAGTCTGTCTTGGTAATATTACCAATAATTGGTAAAAAAAGTGAGATGATAAAGGTAGCAACGGACCTTGGTAAAAACGCCGAGAATTTTTTTTCAGTGCGAATACCCGCGCAACTTACCTAAATCCGAATATATTACAAGTGAACTTCCTCTCATTGGCGCAATGGAATTCGCAGTCGTATAAGGTCGGTGCATTCAGGGACATGACAATGATGGATCTTTCCAGTCGGAACCCACTCCGCGCTCGCATAAAACACTCTAAAATTCAACACACTACATTTACAGAAAACTCAGCAATTATTAGAACTATCCCGATTTAATCGGTATGGACCTGAAAGAGAGATTCGTTAGTTTGCGTCTGATTTGCTTGCTACCTCGACCTCTGCTGGTGTTGTTAGGAAATCGGAAACTGAGAATGCAGCCGCGTTAAGCTATGAGCTCAGTAAGTTTTAAGCATGAGCAAGCTTCGGCAATTGTGGCAAACTTAATATTTGTAATGATGAAGGCTGCCAATACTTAAAGGACACCTAACCTAACCTAACCTAACCTATTCCTCGAGTTAGGTTAGAGACCAATTAAAATATTTTCATGACACTTTTCAGAATACATTCGAAGCTTTTTTGTTATTATAATAGCGGGGAAAAAAAAGGGGATGAGTGTAGGTTTTTCCCCCGCAAAATGAGATTTGGTACCTAATAAAGTCGTTTTTCATTTTACAGCCAATGGTCATAATTTAAATTTAGGTTCACGTTTGAGAATAAGTTACGTTCATGGTAAATTATTTTTTTTCCTTCAACGACAAACCCATTAAAGCAGTTCAGCAATCGTCGAATCACTTGCAGAGAAAAGCGCCTGCATCGCGTCGCACACCGTATGAGATGCGTTTTCACGACAGTGTACGTTTAATTGCATCCAGTGTTTTTGAAGGAACTTTTAACGCAAGGAGACACGCATAATATGTGATTATTACTGAGTAAATTGAATTCTACCGGACCATTCAATTTATTCTGCCTTTTTGTATGAAATCACAAGTGATCACCTCATTATTCTAAAATTAAAGCCTCATTTCATGTATTTTATTATGGATTTTCAATCCTAGGTTCGAGACAGCCTTCATCTGAATGGATCTCTTTGCGAAGCGAGTTAATCTTTGCCTTTCAAAAGGTTAGATAGAATAAGAAGACTACCGCTAGTCGCAAAAACGCCGTATGAGCCTTAGGATTACATTTTGCAATGAGGGAGTACCACTTCGGGTATATATTTTAGAGACACCTTTGTCATTAGCTTCTTTTAGTAGACAGGTGTATTTATGAATGAGCCAGAAATGAAATTCCTCATTACAAAATGTAGCTCATTTCGCCGTCGCCAAAATTCCTCTGGTGAAGTATGCGTACTCTAGAAATTTGAGATTTTCTTCTTTGAATTCTTCAGCGATCTGTTTTCGTAATTTTTCCGCATTTATCCGAAAATTCCAAGGAAGAGTAGGCTCTCATAACTTTTTTCGAATATGAATATCTTATCAGAGGAAGTTCGCAACATCCGAATGATCATAATAAGCAGTGGCGTGGCGTGAATTGCGATGTATCGATTGTTACGCCATTTAAACCTATGGTGAAGAATCGATTATTAAGGTGTTCGCTGCGAACATCCTGTTTATCGATCCGTTTCCATGGGTTTAAGTGGTATAACAATCGATATATCACAAAGCACGCCACGCCACTGATCATAGGACGTTTTTCTCAGCACGGCGTCACGGTAGAAAACAGTGGCAATTTCAGCAAGTTGGCTACACTGTAAGTACTCCATTTAAATACATTAAATATGTCGATTCAAGGTGGGCTTCCTCACCTACAGTCAATCGTTTAACTTATCGTCACCTTCCGGCCAAAGTATCACTAGCGCCATGCGACGTTTAAAAATTTCCGCCGCCATCTTCTTTTTTCACAGCGAATTGTCGGTTGAATCTGTTTGAAAATTTTACTTGATTTTCCTCAGGCTGCCGATAAAACGCAGTGAAATTTTCAAACAGATTCAATCAACGATTTCTCTGTAATAAAAAGGCGGTAATTTTGAAACGTCGCATGGCGCTTGTGATAAAGTGGCCATATAGTTAATAAATGGAATACTTATACAGTGTGGCCAAATTGTAAGAATAGCCTCTGGTAGAAGGAGACAGGGGTGCTGGAAGCGGACTAACCATCGGTGAGCGGGACGTTAGGGAGGGCGAAAGGAGGGGTCAGCCCTTCGGTGACGGAGTGGTGCGGTTGGCCCTTGTAAATGTGATCGATCTTGCCGCCACCGTAGACTCCCGGCAGCTCGTTGGGGGGTGCGAGGGGGTAGTGCGGCGCCGGCTTGTTCCAGCCGTAGGGGATCCCGCCACCAGCGTGAGGGTCAAATTTGGGGGGCAGGTAGGGGCCCTTGCTCCCCCACTGGGACGGGCCGCCGATGCTCCAGCCGTTGCAGCCGGGTCCAGCATTGCGGTCGCGCTCGAAGAAGTCGTAGGCCAGGTCCGAGTTGAAGTCCTGGCTCAGGTCCAAGTGGTCTGCTGGGTAGGAGGTCAGCTGGCAGCTCCCGAGGGACTCTCCCGTCGGCTCAAACCTAGGTCAGAACACAAATAAATAGATAAGGAATAAGGTAATGAGGCGACAAAACACAAGGAAACGGGCAACCAGGGCTAAAAACAAACAAACAGAAAGCCTAGTTCGTTTCTGAGTAGTTCCAACTCCCTCGTCGATCAGCATGGAGAAAAAAATAAGTAACATCCCGAATGTTAAGATATTGTACAACAACTCTTGAATGTTGATCTGAACACTACGGCTGTTAAAGTTACATCCTGGATACGTTGAATTAACAGCCGCAGCGTTCAGATCATAACATTCAAGAGTTGTCGCACAAATTCTCAACTTTCGGGATGTTACTTCAGCAATTTTTTGTCCGTGAGGGAACAAAAAATGTAAAAGAATAAAATGAAGATGTTAACCAAAGATAGATGTTGGCGCTCAGAATTGGAGCGTTAGGTGCAAAAAGAGCTGGAACGAGGTCGGGCAGTTTGGACGGAAAACAACTTTTCGGATTGCACATATCGTCATTATTATGTGGACAAATTTTCAAGTTTTTTTAAAAACAGGTTAAAAATGATTCAATACAAAAACGGCCCAAGTATCAGGCACTTAAACACATAGTGTACTTTTCAATCAGTCGTGCTATCCAAAAATGGCCCAAGTGCACCTTTCCAACTTGTGTTATTTCTCATTTCCAACAATATCCTTCTGTAATTCAATCGAGCCAACTTAAAATTGAGGATATGTCTAAATTTTATTGACCTCAGCCAATACTAAACCTGATAATGTAACAAACTGATACATCATAGCGAATTATTCAATCGCTGTATTGCGGAGCTGGGATTTTGCTACCTGGACCCGTTTTGCACCCAACTCCTCAATTTCGATTACATTATTGTTTTTACGTTTCAAGGCGCAGGGAATGCAACTCAAAATTTACCCAAGGTCGTAGCCATGCATATGTGCATCGGATTACGTCATCGGCTGCGAGCATTTGAGCCTGGAAAATTTTCCATTAGATTCGCGGAGTGTAGCAACGGTCATTTCGCATACCTGAGTCCCGCATCAACGGGAGAAAACCAACTGCAGTACGAAAATCTCATGGTGAGAACAATGGAATGGCTTGTTTCGTGATTTAATGGAACTCATAATCATCGATCCTTCACAATGCAGCCGAACGCCGAACGGTGAAGTTCCGTTTTTCAGGAGGCTAAGTACTCATCATTTTGCGATGCTGCCCGTCCTTGACTCTAATTATTAAGATATCCTGTCACAGCTCATAACCGCACCACCGCCTCTTGTTTTCATATCGCACCGTCATAACATTTAGTCCGGGATTTTCATTCAGATGCATCGTGCAATGCAATGTATAATAAAATTGTGGATAATGAATCGTGCCTTTCTTGCGGATATGGTCCAACCTTTAATGTTATCCTCTCAAAGAAATGGATATGTTGCATGTGTGAGGAATTTGCGATTGGACTGTTGATTATTATGTAAAAGTTTGCGAGGAATACGATGGTGCCACTTGTTTTCTCTGAAATCAACTCTTAAGCTCAAAAAAAGCTCTCAAGTTGAGGCCAAAATGGAGGGGATATCCCACGCTATCCTAAAAGCCCACCTCTACATCAAGACGAACTCTCCATGCAAAGATAGGGAGCAAATACATTGACAGGGTTGCCGTGATTTCAGTTTAAGAGTCCCCAAATAAGGTGGCAGCCCTGTCAATGTATTTGCTCCCTATCTTTGCATGGAGAGTTTGTCTTGATGTAAAGGTGGACTCTCAGGATAGCGTGGGATATCCCGATATCCCCTCCATTTAAGCCTCATCTTGAGAGCTTTTTTTGAGCTTGGGAATTGATTTCAGAGAAAACTAGTGGCACCATCGTGTTTCTCACAAACTGTTACTTAAGAATCAACAGTCAAATCGCAAATTCCTCACACATAGAACATCTCCATTGGGATGAGGTTTCTATGTTCGTCACTAAAGTTATCAAGGTCAAGATGCCCTCCCTCTCTGAACCTTCTCTCACTCCCATCGCCCCTGTCCCCCCCCCCCCCTGCTGATGGTGTACCTTCTCTGAATTTTATTCTCGTCTATTTTATAATATCAAGTATTCTTCTGTGCTCTTTGTATCCAGTTTATATGAAAAAGACTACTGATTTCAGCTCATTACATACTTGACTCTCTGAAGGCATTTTCTGCGCAAGTAACACACTATGTTGGAGAACGACCGACGTAGGAATTGAGCGGTTCATCCAATCATTACTTCTGTTGTTCTCCAACAGGGTGCGCTACTTGTGCCCTTAAAACGCCTTCAGATAGTCAAGTATGTAATGAGTTGAAATCAGCACGCACAACATGTTCGTAACGATAATTGCTGCAGATGAAGCTGAAGGCGAATTGAAAATTATTTCATCATTCACGTTGAAAAATACTTTAGCTTTTAAGTTGCTATTACTTACTCATCAATTGATTTCGTAAGGACAAAGATTACACTGCCACCAACTTATGTCTGGATTCGTAGCGTTTAGTTGTCCTATCGTGATCCCAATTTTCCTGTGGATAGGGACCCCCACCTTTTTCTTAGGACCCTTGCTAGGGATATTTATGGAGCTTTCAAGCTGATCTGATGGACAACTTTGCACATCTTACCGATTCTAAAGAACTGGAGCAACAAAGCAAGAAGCTGATGCCGTTTTTTTGCTGGTGTTTTTTCACCATCTTCCTCTTTCTCTTCCGCAAGTGTGAACTGTGTGAGGATGAGTTCGTTAGCTCAGTGCAACAACCCGTCACTTCATCAGGAACGGTTCTCAGACCGAAGCGTAGGGTTTGCGTAATATTATCTAATTATTTTTTTGCCTCTTTTAAATTTAGGAAATGCAAAAATTGGGTCTGTTTACTGAGCGTTTCAAGCAGATAAACTCTGAACGCGAATTTGCAAGCCATAAGATTCGTACCTTTTATTATAACTATAATATCAACTTCCTTACATCTTCAATGGACTTTCCAAAGTTGAATGTACATCGAAACTTTTTTTGCTTGAGCCACCAGAATATAAAATATTGTTACTGGTTTTGTCAGTCTTGACTCTTGGGGAAAAACGGGGGATGGAGTTTCTTGAGCCGGATCACAGGGAAAATTCAACCATCGACATTTTTACTATATAAGCTCACTTATCCTTTAAGTTTTCATTTTTTGTCAGAGCTCGTTCCCGAAGTCTAGAAGGTCGATTTCCAGTATTTTTGCAATCTTCGGCAGGCAATGGCGACTAACTGAAACCCCTCTATTCAGTTTTTGAAAATATGACTCAAGAGTTTTCATATTACGTGATAAAGTTGTGAATTCCCCCATTTATGAATAATGCAAATGTCATTTTTTTTTCACATGTCGATCTGAAGATCTACCCAGCCGATTTTCTTGATCTCAGCGACTATCCATAAGAGATTATCCCGAGAAAATCCGTCTCTATTCAGATTGCTTCACGAATACCCGCGCGGGCCGCAAAGCGGCCTTTAGAAGACACTTAGCGTCCTCTGGGGGTTGTACCACATAGCAGTCAGGGAACGTCCCCCTAGTATAACCTTAATGTAACCCTTTTAAAACTGCAACACGGTTCATACTGAAGAAGCTATACGCAGATGTAGCGGCGCAGATGTTCGTTGCAATCTCAGTAAGCGTTCCTGCAAGAGCGCGCGTCACGAATATACTCCCAGTCGCGAAAATACGGGTCATATAATTAAGTGCAAAATCCAGTCTGCAAAGCAGGAAAAGCTTTCAAAGTTGAGGTCATAATAATGTTCGAGTGACAGACATCTAGAACCTTCACTTTCTTCTCGCCTATTGGAGAAAAAGAGTTCATTCACGCACACCGCAGATTCAACACATGGCCCCCAGCTGTGACGGCGAAAAACGTAGATAGACCCGCTGAGATCGGACCGATCCTAACTCTCTGAATTTGCTTCATTTGAGTACTTGGTGCTCACCGATGAGACATAAAGATATCGAGTCTTTATGTGAGACCTTTTTGGCGAAAAATAGCTCGACATGTTACTAGGACACGCCCGGTTCCGAACCGAGAGAGACTTAACTGCATTGGAATGCCAATGGGTCTGTTGCAAACTTTTGCTAAAGCAAAAATTTGAGTTGTTACTCGTAGAAAAAGTCTCAAAAAGTACGATGAGCGCATCGGCAAAATCTGAAATGCACTCCTAATTTCACAATCTGCGTAAGAAACTTGCGTTTTTTTAGCTTTCCGCTTCAAAAAGGCTACTACGGCACAGGTGAACATTTCGATAAAGGAGTCATTCCATTCAATCCTTGCTCAACATGTCCGGCGCTTCCGCGCGCAAGTTGAGGAGAGCACGAGGTCAATCAAGACGGATATCTACATATATGAAAGCGAGAAAAATGTGAATGTAAATACGCCGATTATTATCATGTGGTTCGAATCATCGTCTCGTCACATGTGTTTTGGCGGATTGGCGTCGGCTATATTGCGCGGTATTCTTGTGAGCAGCAGTTGGATGGAATGACTCCTCTAACGAAATGTTCACCTGTGTCACGGTATCGTTTTTGAAGCGGGAAGCTCCAAAAAACGCAAATTTCTTACGCAAATTATGAAGTAAGGAGTGCATTTCAGACTTTGCCGATGGGCACATCGTGATTTATGAGGCACTTTATATGAGTGACAACTCTTATTTTTGCCCTAGCAAAAGTTTGCGACAGGCCTATTGGCGGGATAAGCTATCGAATAAGAAAGAAAGATGATTCATCGAACTACAAANAAAAAAAAAAAAGTTTGGTCGTATGTACCAAAGTTCGGTGTTCCATATCATCCCAACAAATTCGGTTCGTGTAACCGAACTTGTGCGGTAAAGTGAACTGACGAACTAAGTATGGTCTCATATGCCGAGCGTTCGGTTACACAAGTCGAAAGTTCAGTTTGACAAACCGAAAGTTCAGTTTGACAAACCGAAAGTTCAGTTTGACAAACCGAAAGTTCAGTTTGACAAATCGAAAGTTCAGTTGGATAAACCGAAAGTTCAGTTTGACAAACCGAAAGTTCAGTTTGACAAACCGAAAGTTCAGTTAGACAAACCGAAAGTTCAGTTGGACAAACCGAAAGTTCAGTTTGACAAATCGAAAGTTCAGTTGGATAAACCGAAAGTTCAGTTTGACGAACCGAAAGTTCAGTTTGACGAACCGGAAGTTCAGTTTGACGAGCCGAAAGTTCAGTTTGACGAACCGAATATTCGGGATCACATGGAATTTTTTTGCAGCGAAGCTGCAGTTCAGTGTTCGTGATCGAAGTTTTTCTTCGAGTACGATCAAATAATCGACCGGAGTTATTATCGATGCGTGGTCCGGGCTCACCTGAAATTGAAGCCCTCGCAGACGAACTCCTTCTCGATGGCACAGGCGAGTTGGCAGTGACGCAAGGCGTCACATGGGAGCACTCTGCGGATGAATCTGTCGGCCAGACGTCGGCCCGTCACCAGTCTCCTGAAGCATGCTGCAACACACGCCCAAACACGACAAATCATTTCATAAGCCATGCAAACGCCGAACCAATGACGTCACAGGTTCCGCTTCCTTAGATACCACTTCCCGGCAAACACACGTGCTGTGACGTTGCCCCCTCGAGGAACTTGTTTTTGGTGTGCAATCACCAGAAAAGAGAGAAACAGAGATGCGGAATGAAATTTCACGGAAAATAATTTCTTGCAATTTCACAGACTGGAATTTCTTGCAATTTCACGGAATGAAATTTCATCCAATTTCACAAGAAATTTAATTTTGCTGAAAAGTAAAATTTCATTTTGTATGAAATTCCGACGATTTTTCAGAGGCTACGTATGCAACCCCTGGTAAAAATTGGCAGTTGAATCTGTGTTCCAAAATACCATAGACCTACAGTCGGCTGTAAGATTTCCAATAGATTCTATAGCCGGCTACACAATTTCTTATAGCCTTTTATAGCCGATGGTGACCAAGCAACAGCCTGGCAATAAAGTGTATGCTCAACGTCACTAATTACGGATGCTAGGACTTAGTGAGTTTTTGGAATACTGCTCCCTTTTTGGGCCGTAGTATCTGGATTTATTTTGCGAGGAAAGCTCCGTACTTTTGATGGATGCCTGCCATTACTAATATATTAGAGCGCCTTCGGTTTCGTATGATACTGTGCAATACCTCTGGTGTGAAATAGTTGCTTCAAGCGCCTTGGCAGGCGGGCAGCCAGCGCGAAACACGCATTGGCGCCTACAAACCTAACAAGGATACTTCACGCGTTGCGCAATGCGTGAAGTATCCCTGTTAGGTTTGTAGGCGCCAGTGCGTCGCCGCTCCGCTTTGTGTTAGGCTCTAATATTTAATCTGGCGGAGTAAGCGTTATTCAACTCATGATTTTGAAATGTTTGCACATCCTGTATGGATTATTCTCATTTTAATTGATGAAGAAAATATGTATTAAAGGAAAATATAATGTGTGTTTTGTAAATATTAAGGTGGTTCCGTATCAAACTTAATGATTTCCAAAACACACGAAAATCTACACAATTTCTTATAGCCTTTTATAATCGATGGCGAAAAAGCAACAGCCAGGCGATAAAGTGTAAAGCCCGACGATAGGAACCATAGCCCGGCTGCATAATTTTTTCTCGCCTCGTATAGCCCGGCCGTGTGATTTTCTCCGCATTCTACAGGCTATATGATTTTCTGTAGCCTTCTTTAGCCGGCTATAAGAATTTATATGGTATTTTGAAACGCAGCTCTTATCGTCAATTTTTACCAGGGACCCGCAGTAAAGATCTTAGAATTCGATGAGAGACTTCGAAATTTGACTCATTAGTTTTTTCTAAAATTTAAAAATTAAGTTATGTACTGTTTTTTTTTACATTTCATGGCAAACTGGTTGTGGTAACGTCGTAGAACCTTTTAAAAAAAATTCACGATATTTCTTTATGAAATTTCATATTATTGTATTTTTTATGAATTGTTTCATTTTTGTCGAGAAATGAAGAAGTTTCGTGAAGGAATCGCCAAAAAGATAAGATAAAATTAAAAATGATTCAGAAAGGTTCTGCGGATAGCAGAACAGCTTAGATTGAAGACATCATAGCTTTCTGCTCCGAAGGATTTCCTTCAAAATGCTATATAGGCAAAAGCACATCCGGAATGTTAAAATAGTTGCGCCCTCAGCCCTCCAAATCTTTCTGGTTGATTTCTGCGTTTGTAAGTATTATACCGAATCTTACTTTAGAAAAGGCACTGGAGAGATGAGATTTTTTTTCTGCTCACGAAGACTGTAACCGGAGTTTGTTTCTAACTTTATGCATCTACCGGGTAGGCTTGTCTCCAGATATGCCTATGTACCTCTCTTTACTTACACTTTTCTAAATTACCGCTCTTACATTTATCTGTCTCCACACCCATATTCACTTGAATAGACATCGGCGCAACATAAATGAACCTAACATTCAAAATTAGAATGATAACAATTCCATGATTTGCATTACCATCAAAGTTCCCCCATTGCGCATTCGGCAAATTTGTGTTTGAACGGTGCTGTTAGATCTGAGAGAGTACCATTTTTTAGCAAGGTACTATCGGACGTAATTGGTATAGTTTGATTAGGAGATCGTACCTGGTGCATCCTGAATGACAATCAAAGACCGGAAATCGAAGATCGGAACCAACAGACTGGTAAATGTGAGGAGCGTTAGATGGCGCATTTTAAGCAACGTTTATAATCACAAACTTTAAGAAATTTTTCTTTGTTATCTTTTTGGTGATTCGCGACTTTGCATTCCTTGACCGGACCATGCGTGCAAACGAAATGGTGTCTCAGACTTTCAAGATTCATAGCCAGAGACATGAAAACATTTTAAGTTTTAAGAGACAACGTGATGCATAGTGGAAGAAGGCTACGCCTGGACAGGGCTTTCAGCACTTAAAAACCTCCAGGACACAATTTCACGAGGATCGCAGTGGGTGTGAAAATTCATCAAAAGCTGAAAAGGAACTTCGTCAGCAATGGGTATTTTGTCGATCTTCAGTTGGTGAAATATCACTCGATAACTTCAATTTTTGCCACAATAATTGAAACTCTGCGAAAGAACTTTTATTTTTTTTATAAACAACCGGAGCTTTATAGATAGATTTTTTGTAAGGAATTTTCCCGGCAAAATTTTTCCGTGATAAAGAAAACGAAAGTTTTTACCACCGATTTCCACGAAAATGTAAGAGATCTCTTGTGAATCAAAGGCGAGGTGAAACGCCCCTACTCACGCGGAAGTCAGATTCTCAAACATTTTTAAATTCTGAGCATTGCACTGGTTTTGAAACTTCATCACTTAGAATTTTACCGCGGTGAATCTTCTCTTGAAATGTTTAAATGTGGCAACAGTGAACGCAACACCACGGTGAAAAAATTAAAAAAAAAAAAAATTGGAAAATCACAAGAGTTTATTCGTGCGAACATGTGATCCACCGACCGATGTAATTTTTGAAGATGACACTGGTTTTCGAATTACTTCACTTAGAAGTTAATTGCGGCGAATCGTCACTTTTACACTTTTGCACCTGCAATAGACCACTGCGTACGAAAATGTTCAAGTAAAGGAATTTTAAAGTCGTAAGCAACTATCACGCGGGACCATGTTCTTCTTCGCTTTCCACATTTTTTTACACCAATTTTGAATTTTGTTGACTTTGAGTTATACCGCCGAGCGAGAACGGTAACGAAAATTTTCTACCCTGCAAAATGTCAACTTTTGCAGTGTCAATGGTAGCTGGTAGCACCACAAAAAAATTCACGAAAAAAAATTGCAACCAATCTAGTGAGACGCGCCCGTCCAGCCGCAGAACTTCACAAAGACCGCACCAATTTTGACACTCGGTGCCTTTGAATTTTTCCGCGTTACAGTCAATCAAAAATTCCAGCCCTCACAACTGCAATCACCCCTCCTTCAAGGGAGAAAGATGGAATAAAATAAAACTTCGCGGAAAAATCGCTGTCAACCAAACTTCACGAAAAGTGTCACGGTCATGGAAATTCACAACTTGGGATTTCAACTTCCCGTACCTTTGAATTCTCCCGTGGTGGATAGTCACTCGGAAATTCCGACTTTTGCATCGGCAAACGTTGCCTCACACAGAGAGGAAAATTGAATAAAATAAAATTTTGCGGTCAACCGCACTTCGCGAAAATCGTCACAGTCATGGAACTTCACGACTCAGGACTTCAACTTCCCGTACCTTTGAAGTCTCCCGCGATGGATAGTCACTCGGAAATTCCGACTTTTGCATCGGCAGTCGTTGCCTCACACAGAGAGGAAAATTGAATAAAATACAATTTCGCGGAAAAAATCACGGTCTATCAAACTTCACGAAAATCATCGCGGTCATGGAAGCAACTTCACGACTCGGAACTTCAACTTCCTCGCGGTTTTCGCGGTCGGGAGCGCGTCCGACGGAGTGCGTGCGAGCGGAGGCGCGGATGAGCCGAAAATTCGCGAGACGACGCCGACGCCGACACGTTGACGTTCGCGGATCAAGCGGCGTCGCGGCGCCGCGCGGCGGGGGTGTACCGCGGTCGCTAATGAACTCGGATCTCCTTTGAGGTTATGTGTCGTAACGTCCATTTCAATGTCACGTGACTTCAAGCCTCATTACCGGTGGCCGCTGACCACTCCAACAGCGCCCGCCGAGCCAAAACCGCGTAAGACCCCGCGGGATCCTGGGAAGATACGTGGTTTTTCGTGAGTGCGGAGAGGTATTCGAGCCTGTGGCCACGACCGACATTGCACGAACGCGAATTTTGCGACACGAGAAAAGGAAAGAATGGAAAAATTGCCCCCTTCTCTTGAGTGTCCGTTGGGAAAGGGAAGGGGGATTTTGGGCAATGTTGGGTTGATGACTTTAAGCCGGATAAAAAAATGGGTAATTATACCAAGTTAATATTTTTGTGATATTTCTTTGTAATGTCTTCGGTCGTCACCATTTTCAAATCAGCCCGCCAATTTAAAACTCCGTAAGAAAGACTATCTGTGTCCTGTCACCGTTAACTCGTTGTAAAAACTATGAATGATCAAAATTGTGAGAAGAGAAGCACACTGTAACAATCTCCGTCGACATTTCTGCCTTTTTGTCAATTGCTCTGAGCGGTTCTTCCAATTTGAGTTTGAAATACGGTGAATGGTGCCGCTAGCCCCCCTCTTTTCCACTTCCTGCGGTACGAATGTCGAAAAGTCCCATCGCAAAAACGACTTTAAACTTTAGAAACAGAGAACCCTTTAGAAAATATTTGTTGTTTACCTAATTGGATCACATATTGTAACAAGGAACCACAATCTCTGGCTCCTCTATAAAAGCACCTTTCTGCATTAGGAAACCGATGATATATGTGCTGTTTCTAAAATGAGCCAGAAATAGTGAATTGTTATTCCAAAATGTGGTCCAATTAAATGCCAAGAATGAAATATAAAAATTATTTTCTCTTCCCGGTATTAT